GAACCAACTTGATTAATTGGCATTTATAAAATATTCTATTCCACACATGCTTTTCAAAAGCATATAGAACACTACCAAATTAGATCAAACTCAGGGCTATAAAATAAATTTCAATAAATTAGAAATTATTTCATTCATATAAAATATTTACTCTAACCCTAATGAAATTAAATTGGAAATAAGTAAAAGAAAGATATTTGAAAAATCTCAAATATTTGGAAACTAATATTCTTTTAAAAAACTCATGGGTCAATGTTAAAATCATAGGGAAATTAGAGAATATTTTAAACTAAATAAAAGAGAAGAGTCAGCATATAAAAAATAGCATAGCTATTACATAGCCAAGTAATAATTAGAGATAAATTTATAGCAAGAAAAAAATTTTAAATCAGAATTGATATAAATAAAATAAAAATACAAAAAGCAATAGAGAAAGTAAATGAAACCAATGATTGGGTCTTTTACAAAATACATAAAATTGATAAACCTCGATATAGACTGATAAGGAAAAAAAGAAGAGGCACTAATTAGTAATTTTAAGAACTAGAGGTTTTACATCATTACAGATTCTAATAAGGAAATATTATTAAGAACTTTATGCCATCCTATTTGACAACTTAGATGAAATGGATCAATTTCTTGAAACACACAAACTACCAAACCTCATTCAAGAAGAAATAGATAGCCTAAATAGACTTATAATTTTTTCAATTGAATTTCATATTAACAAACCTTCCCACAAAGAAAACTTAAGTCCCAAATGAATTCACTGGTGAATTCTACCAAGCACTTAAATAAGAAATAATACCAATTTTATATTAACTTTTTCAGAACATTTAACAGAGGGAGAGATACCTGCCATCTCATTCTGTGAATCTTAAATTACCCATATACTAAAACCAAAAAAAGAAAAAAAAAAGAATACAATACATTAGCCTCTAGTACAGCAATATCAGGTAAAAATATGATACAATTTTCATCAGGAAACAGGAAGATCCTGTTTTCCTTTTTAAAAATTCAGCTTTCCCAATTTTATAATACTTGTAATGTTTATTCTATTGAGAAAATATAGAGAATATCACTGTAATTCTAGAATTCTTCAAACTAAACTTTTATGAATAGTTTTATTGTACTTTTTATTATGGTAAAATAGATATACCATTAAATTTACTACTTTAATTATTTTTAAGTGTACAACTCAGAGCATTAATTACATTCACAATGTTGTGTAGTCATCACCACTATTTCCAAATGTTTTCATCACCCCAAACAGAAATTCTGTATTCATTAGGTAATAACTCGCCATTCGTTCCCTTCTCTGAACTCTGATAACCTCTAATCTACTTTCTGTCTCTATGAATTTGCCTATTCTAGATATTCTATGTATGTGGAAAGATACACTACTTTTTTTGGTGGGGGGGTGGATCTGGCTTATTTCACTTACTATAAAGTTTTCAAGGTTCACTTATATAGCATGTATCAGAAATTCATTTTGTATTCATATATATTTGAAATCAGTTATACATAGAGCAAGAGTAGGCATCTGATATTTTGATATAATCATTTTGATTCATTTTTGAGACTTTATTTGAATTTTCCTACATGAATTTTTAAAATATTATCAAAATTTTTCAATGAGCCTTATTATTCTGGGGACTCACTCCATTACAGAAATTTACTCCATTTCTAAGCCTTGCGAAATGAGGAATGAAGTGATGCTTAGAGATGGGTTATTATGGAATTCGAAGATGGGATGTTGATAAGAATCATGAAAAGGAAATATAGAATGAGGTTGGCAGTAGAGTGGTGGTGATGCTGAGGTGTGATACAGTTGAAGGATGTCAGTGGCACTATGCTTGGAAATATTAAAACACTACATTTTCTCAGTGCCATATTGATGGATATTTTTTATATTCCTGATGTTTAAATAATCTAATCAACAACATATGATATTTATTCAGTCTAGAGAGAATGCTACCATTACATTTTGATAGAGGAATTCTTTGCAATAGGTCCATGCCTCACCAGAGACCTGTGTTCCATCAGATGGAACAATTGGGATAGAAATATTGCAGCACTAAGACTTGTACTATGGATCATGGTGTTCGTTTACTCTTGTTTTTAAAGTAATTTGAAATGTGGTTGTTCCAACTGAGGGAGAACATAGAATCCCAAAGGGAGACTTGAAGAGAGATGAACATGATAGACTTGACATAGGTCCAGGGCTTTTTGTTATTGGTTCTGGAAAGAAAAGTGGAAATGATTAGATCACCCTCAGCCATTTAGTAGTTGAATGTTAGGCACTAAGTGGCACCTGCCACTTAGAGAAATAAAGACAGGGAAGATCTTAACAGTCAGTAAAGAAGGGTAGTGGGACGATTAGGCTCCTGGAGTTGATATATTCAAGAAAGCAGTCATTGAGGATCTTAGAGACCCAAGAAAAATGATCTAGCATAGAAAGAATTCTCTGGAATAACTTGTACCCTGTCTTCATTTTGGTGTGATTTAATATCCAGAAACAACTACTTTAATAGTCATTCCATGTTTTGAATTCAGATTTCTCCTAAGCTACATGGTAGCAATCAGAAAGAATTATATAGTAGTGGTATATTTATGTAAAAGGTATAATGCATTTAAAAATATTTTCGTTTTTAAAAAGACAACTCTGCAAATTAAATTCCCAGAGTTAAATGTTTTAGATGATTAACATGAAAAGGGAATCTGGAGACAGCCTTTATTGAGAATAGATGAGTTGGATTGTCATACAGTTCTTAGATCATGTCTACACAGCAAAAATAAATTGGTACTGCAATTAATCCATTTTAACCAATATTATTATTTAACTTATTTAATTTATGCTAATAAATAAGATTTTTTAAAAAATGTATTCTGAGCACTTTCCTTCCCTTTTCATATTGTCTCTCCCACCTTTATTTATTTTTATTTCTTTGATATTTGCTTTGCATTTTTACCTGTTCTATTAGGTAGACATATCAGTTGAAGTCTGTCTTAAAAGTTAGTGACACTGAATTTAATACACCAACCATTCCTGAAGAATCTATAGCACATTTACTATTTTGTTAGATTGATAGATATTCTGAGAATAAAAAAAGCCTTTTGAGTTTGGCCTTTTTCCTCCAGGAGTTTGTCATACTGTCCAATTATCTTTCGAATTTGAATACTGTAGGTAACTAAGATCAGAAAACCAATTCTTAAGGAAGGCATAAATTAATATTATGAAAACTACAGTTTAATATAAAGATAATTTTTCATTTCAAGATTATTATTATTATTTTCAAGTTTACCAACAATAGACAATTCTAGTCAAAATAGTTATACAACCAACCAACAAACAAAGCCTAGAATTATGGACAATCAATCAGACCAGCAAACACCAAGTGATAACAATTCATTTGAACATTTGGAGCCATATTTCCCAAAGGGTTTTGGATCTCATCACTGGAGATAAAACAAATGCTTAAAGATATCAGACTACACCTATAAAAATATATACTTGACCAATTCAGCATACCTAATAGAGAGAGGAGCCAAATAGTAGTATAAATACATAAACTCCCAAGATGATTCTATAGTCACCTGGAGAAGAAGACAAATTTGGTTTCCTAATATAACTATTTAAATTGTTAAATGTAAATACTTTAAAGTTCTATTAGTACATCTATAATGTTAATTATGTGTATTTACATTAATACTTTTTAATCCGTTGATACTTATGAATATTTAATATCATTTTATTAATCTATATGCCCAAATTAAAATTTCATATTCCAATACATTTTCAAAGAGGTTATTCACTCTTTAGTTTAAGGACAAGATGACATATAGATAACATGTCTTAGAATAATCACACACTAGAATGATGAATTTAAAAGAATCCTAAATATGTTTTATGAAAGAATTTTGTAAGCATCAAAAAACTTTGCAATAACTCTAAATTGACACAACCTTTCCCCTCAAATGTAAATATTATGCTTTTACACATAAAACATGACTCTCTGGGCTATATGTTTCCTGCTTGGGTTCTGCCCTTTGTGTTTACGTTATCATATATTACACAAAGTCATTTCGTGACTAACTTCCAGAGCTCTGAGTCACAGTGTGGGTGTTGCTTATCTTTTCTTTTTTTCTACATGGAACTGCTTTTGGAACTAATGTTTTGGTAATACTCTCATACAGATGAGCTTTTTTCATAATTAAATAATTTTTGTCTCATTATAGTTCTGTGGTGGTGTACTTCTATATTATAGGTTTTCTTTTGCTACCAGAAGCAAAGTTTAATATCATTTTATAACCAACAAGAACATGACGATACATCATGTAGGTATATAATCTATTGCTTAATTTATATAATTGCAATATAGACTTGATCAAATACATTCTTATTTAAGTATCTTAGAATATAAGCTTTGGTCTTTGGAGACTTGTAAAATATTTTTATAGAGCAATCTGTTAATGCTGGCATAAAATATTTACTTTAGATTATAAGAATTCTAATGTTTATATCTTATTTTAAGTATCACTAATTAATAACAATGAAAGAAGTTTCTTTAAACATAAGGCTCTCAGTTAGTCTCTTTATTATATTTTTTTACAAATTACTAAATAGTATTTAAAGGTAAACCACATCTTCAGAAAATTCCAATTAGACATGATTAGTAAAGAATTGCCACTACAAGCTTAAAATTATTAAAAAAGGCTACATCTGACCAACTTCTTACTAAATTCTTTATAATCTTAGAGGCAGAAACATATATTGCATATATATTTGTTTAAGAACTAAATGCAAAGTACTGAGAACCTAATTTTGCAGTGCAATGTGAGTTTACTTTGTTTACAGACAAGAGTCGATTTTCATTTTAGGGTTACAGACAATGGTTCTTTCCTACCCCTCTTTACCTCTCAGTACCATGCTTTTTCTTCCCCCAAATGAAATAAAGTTTATTTCTTATGGGCTAGAAAGTATATTGCCAAGTACTCACGTGTAAAATCTCTGAAGAAAGTTCTTGTAAAGATTTTTTTCAAAGCAGAGTTGAGTTAATTTTGTTTTCCCTTCCAGGCACTGAAGAGAGGATTTGTCTTTTCTATTTCTTTTAAACAGATCAAGAAACTGGGGAGTGGAGAAAGATGAAGGAAATGCAATCTGATCCTGTTAGCTGTGAAAGGGTGAGGTAAGAATCTGACAATTATCCAGCCCAAAGTCGCTCCTGTCTGTTGGAGCAAAGAAGGAGCCTCAGAGCCAGTTTCAGAGATCACCGACAGTTGGGAATAGCCAGGCTTCCTGTTTAAGTCAGTCCAACTCTCTTTAGGCTAGTTTCGCCAAACTCTTCAAAAGCCTTTTCTATTATGGAGGAAGCAGACAAAGGAAACAGCTTCCACCAAGATTTCAGAATAACAATTTTTGAATGACTATTTCTTTTGCTTTCTAGGATTCTTTTTGTAATCATTTAAAAAAAAAAAAAAAGACACTTCTTCCAGAGTTATACATATTTTAGAATATTATATATTTATTATTACATTGTTATTTAATAAAATAAACTTTTTTCCAGTTTATCTTCAAATTATTTCTTCTACATTGTCAGTATATTCATGAAAAAATTCAAGGGACACTGAATTTCCCTCTAATTAGAGAGACAGTACGTTGTATTGCCTTTTGCAGAATGTCAGCCTGTGAACACTGCCTCAGCTACTTGTAAGCTTTGCAACTTGTCAATTATTTAAATTCTGTGTCTTAGTTTCTGTTTTCCTAAATAATGATAATAAATGTTCCTAGGACTGATTTAAGTAGTAAATGGATTGATATATACAAATATATGTATACATATAAACATACATTAGACACTTAAGAGAGGCCCCTCACCTTCAATAAATGTTAACTATCATGTTTATTGCTGTTGCTTATGTTTTATATTATTATTATTATTTTACACAATGTGTAAATACTTAAAGATGTCACTCCGATTTCCTCTACATAGGTTGCTATTATTGAGGTTAACCCTTAGTATTTCCATATGGAATTATGGTCATATCAGACTAAGATCATTAGAGATTACATCAGATGTCAGAATCTACTTCGCCATGAAGACTAAAGTCATTTGATCAGAACATCCACTAGTTTCTTGTTTTTTTCCATCTCAGATTCTCTTTGTGACTTCAACTTTTCTTGCTTCTTTCTTTTGATCTCTGTGTAAGGGTAATCTTTCTTCTTGTGGGTTTTTAACATTTATTGAATAATTATTAACTGTCTGACACGTAAATTATATCATTTAATTCTCATAACTAGCTTATGAAGAAGATCATCTCTGTATGCCCATTTGACATATATTGGGAGGGCGACTGTGGTTTATGGAGCTGTGATTCAAGTCCTGTAGATTGACTTTAGAGTGCAGATGCTCGAATACTCCTCCATGCTTTTTTCTCACCCATGTTCTAGATTTCATATCATGTTAACAAAAAATTTTGCTGCATGATTATTACCTCACACCCCACAACTCAAGCTCATTCAATGTTCCCTTCTTGCTCAGATTGTTGAGAAAAGTGCCTGTTTTTGGACTGATTAAAGTTTTGGCCAATCTACAGACTCTGTTCAGGTAGAAGTAAACTCAGCCAATCAAATTTCCTTTTTGGAAACTTGAAGTATGAGCTATAGAAAAAAGAACACAGTAAATGCCAGCCTTTTAACTAAAAAGCCAAGCTAGAGAAAGGGTTTATGGGGAGAAAGTTAGTCAAGAGAGGAAGATGAAAAGAATAAATGAAAGAGAATGTGTAACCCCTGAGAGAGGAAAGAGGGCAAGAACAAACAAAAAAGCAAGACTGAGAGCAGGAGAAATGAGGGAACTCTACAGTGACAGTTCTTCCTCAGGCTTAGTTCAGGTTTTCCTAAGTACTCAAGAACATATATCCTTATAATAAAACCCCTTTCCACCTAAAGCATTTAAGAAATCTCTTTTTCTTATTATGTAAAGAACCCTATGTGAAAGAGCCACAGCTGAGCTGAAATTATTTTCTCCAAGATTATTGATTTCGTATTTAAGCTGCACTTGGCATTAATGAAAACTTATCACCATTTTGTTAAAATGTAACTTACACACACTTAGGTATTCTTGCACTGAAGAGAACGTGAGACTTATGGTAGACTATTTATTGTTAGGATGAGACAGCCTGACACTCACTTACAGGCTCTGTGGACTCAGCTTTTCTCTCCTTGAGGCTTATGTGAGCTCTTGTTTGAGGTCTTATTACCAGTTTGACATTCCATTGTATACAACTCAGTCACAATAATTTGGGTAAAAGATTTGGTTTTCCTCACCAACAATTTGCCTAGGTGCCATTGTATCTTAAACTTTTTTGTATTAATCTGGATGTTCCAAGTACTTACCTAATACTACTCTCCTTTTTATTTCTCACCATTCTCTGTTAATTTTTTCTTTATAACTTTCGAGCAATTTGAATAATGTTCCAAATTCTTACTATGAGCTTGTTGATTTCTTGTCTAAGAAATAATGTCTTTTTTTTTCTTTACTTGTCCTATGTATCTGGAAACATTTTCTAATTTTATCTATTAAGAATTTTATTTATTAAAATATATCAAATATTTCAACAAGTTCTGATAACTACATGAGTGAGACAAATCTGGTAAGAAATTGGTTCTTTAATGTCATTGAAAGAAGAGTATGCATTGTTGCAGGATAGAGATGATCAAAATTAGAAAGGATGTTAAAAAACATTATACAGAAGTTTCAATAAACATCTAAAACAAAATTAAATTTTACTACATCAAACACTCATTTTATACATTTTTGTATGTGAAATATTAGATATTTCATTATTTCATATTTCAACCAGTTACCTTTCATAGAAAGTATGACCACAAAGGTCTTTAGTTGTATTAGGTGAGGAGTGAGCCATTGAGCTCACGCTTTGTCTCAGTCTTCATCCTTGTATCCAGAATCTAAACCATGTACTGCTTGTCCTTGGCTTTTCTAAAAGTAATTTCTGAAAACTGATAAACAAATGGAAACGATCCACATTTTCATATTTCAGATGTAAAAAAGAATGGTATCTAGGGTTTATCAAATTGTATTCATCGAAACTCAGCATAATAGGTCTGACATATACAAACATGATACAAAATTGCCTCTGTACTTATTTTATCATTAACAAAATTAATTTAGCTTTCAAGCCCCTATATTTACCTATTCTAGGTAGTTTACTACTAAATTGCTAGTTGAAATTTGGCTACTTAGAGGCACCCAGGAAATTTAGATGTCTACTGCCCTTATTCTTTCCCTTCTCCCTAGGGCACCTGACCTCTTAGAAGTGTTTGGAAAGGGCATCTGGCCCATTTGATGTCCTCTGGCCCATTACATGTCCTCTGTCATTTGCTGAGAACTCATTTAGCTTGGTCATGCCTATTATAGTATGGCCAATATTTTAGAACTAAAAATATGTTTTTACTTTAGATCCTAGTTTTTGCAATTTAAGACCATAGCTTTTGAGAATATCTTCTCTCCTGTGGGTAGAAACATCCATTCAGCAAGTCACATGAAGCCTCTATTCTTTGCTCTTAGCTTCATGTGCCTATTGTAAAGAGTAAGGACAAAAATAAATGAAAAAAAAATATGTAGTTGTAAATCAAAATACTACCAGCTACAGGTCAGTTGCCTTATTTTTAGCCAAATTTAGTATCATGCTCATTTTATAACAGTTGAGATACCTATATATAGTCCTAGGCTACAAACCTATATGGCATGTTACTGTACTGAATACTCAAGGCAACTGTAACACAATGGTAAATATTTATGCATCTAAACATAGAAAAAGTACAGTAAAATACAATACAAAAGATAAAAAAATATACACCTATATATTAGAGCACTTACCATAAATGGAGGTTGCAGGACTAAAAGTTGCTCTGGGTAAGTCAGTGAGTGAGTGGTGAGTGAATGCGAAAACGTATATTACTGTACACTCCTGTAGAGTTTATAATACTGTACAGCAGTATCGCCACAAACAAGTGAGTAATGTGTTGCCCTACGGTGTTATGAGGGTTATGACGTCATTAGGTGATAAGAATTTTTCAGCTCCACGTAAGCATATGGGATCACCATCATGTATGCAGTCTGTCATTGACTGAAATGTCACTGTATAGAGCATGACTATAAATTATTGCTATTTATTAATACATTTTTTTAAATGTAATGTCCAAGAGTTAAAATAAAACAAATTGAATTTCTAGCTATTTCTCTCTAGATTTCTAGAATTACGTATTCTATTAGACAGCATGATGAGATTACTTAGAATTATCACTTTCATTAATGTGGTTTTTCAATTCTTATTTAGTTTATTTGTTTAACTACTGTTAGAATCTGGAAAGTATATATGTATCTCTAAAACATGAATAAAGGGGTAAATTCTTTTGCTTTTTATTGATAATAATAGAATTTCTTATATCTACCTCTGTGAAATAAGTCCTATGATAGTAACAAATTTGTTAAAAAATATCATACAAACTTAGGTCACAGTAATTGATCTGCATCATCTAGCATGAGAAAAGTAATATTCCCGCTGCACTTTGTATGTATAAAATGACATAAAAACCCTAAAGGGAGAATATTTTCACTCTCTAGTGTCTCCAAAATACTTAATTTTTTAAATTCTAAAAGCAGCCTAGATGAAAGTAAAATTATAGTTTGGCATCAAGTCAATATTTAAAAAAGAATAAGTTGTTGAAATATTATTTTGTTTGATCATTTTTATCACAACATGAATAAAGAGAAGATAATCTTTTACTTTTATAAAATGAGTCTCTTCACTTTTATAGTATAGTTTTTAAAGTCAATATGCAAGAAAGGAAAAAAATGTCCTTCCTGGTAACTGCACTATAGAATTTATAGAATTGATAACTAATAAGTGTTAATAACTATAACTATACAAAACTGAAAGCAATTTTTTTCTAACTACACTGCCTTTTCTTTTCAATAGGTTTGTCACAAAAGGGATGACGATTCTTGGCACGATGTGTGAATTTTGACACGCAGCTCTCTTTATCTGTCCCAGACATGCGTAGCAACAAATGTCTTCAGAATTTAACTCTCACAGGGAGCTTCTTTTGTCTCCATTTTCTTTTTCTCATGAGGAAAACAAACAAATAAATAAACTTCATTTGGGCTAGGAGTACTTTACTCTTTATAGACAGACAAATCAACTGTGTTTAATGTGAACTATGTGACGAAATAAATTGAAAGCTATGATAGCACTCTTGATATGTAATCTTGATACCA